CCGATCTCAGTCTTTCCATCGGCGGCCGTATTCTGATTACTGATACTTATGTTATCGAGATGAGGGATTTTGACCTCATACTCGGTATGGATTGGCTAACTCGATTTCACGCAGATATTCAGTGTTACGACTGGGAAATTACTCTTTATCTTTCGGGAGATGATCAGATCACTTATTACGGCTCCAGGACTCGTACTCTGCCACATATTATTTCTATGGCGAAAGCCAGAAAGATTCTTCGACGAGGTAATTGTAAGGGTTATCTTGTGAGCCTCGTTGGAGATGAATCAAAGGCACGTTCACCTCATGACATTCCTATCGTTCGTGAGTTTGTGGACGTGTTTCCAGACCAGCTTCCCGGAGGTCCGCCTTGTCGACAGGTGGAATTTTCTATTGATCTTATCCCTGGAGCCGGACCCGTTTCAAAGGCACCGTACAGAATGGCGCCTAATGAATTGCAGGAATTAAAGACCCAAATCCAAGAGTTGCTGAATCTCGGTTTTATACGACCGAGCGTTTCTCCTTGGGGAGCACCAGTCCTTTTTGTCAATAAGAAGGATGGATCCATGCGTATGTGCATCGACCACCGGGATCTTAACCGGTTAACGATCAAGAATAAATATCCACTTCCCAGGATTGACGATTTATTTGATCAATTGAGGGGTGCCTGTGTGTTTTGTAAGATCGATTTGCGTTCAGGCTACCATCAACTAAAAATCAAGGAATCAAACATACCCAAGACAGCTTTTCGTACGAGATACGGTCACTTCGAGTTTGTGGTTATGCCGTTTGGCCTTAGTAATGCCCTGGAAGTATTCATGGACTTGATGAACCGTGTATTTCATCCTTTTCTCGACCAGTTCGTTATTGTCTTTATCGATGATATTCTTATTTATTCTAAGAGCCAGGAGGAGCACGAGGAGCACCTAAGGGCCGTTCTTTCGACCCTTAGACGAGAGAAGTTATATGCAAAGTTCTCCAAGTGCGAATTTTGGCTTCAACGAGTGGCTTTTCTTGGCCACATTATTACTTCAGCAGGTATTGAAGTTGATCCTTCCAAAATAGCTGCAGTCCAGAATTGGTCAGCACCAAAGAATCCGTCCGAGGTTCGTAGTTTCCTTGGCCTTGCAGGTTATTATCGCAGATTTATCGAGGGATTTTCGAAGATTGCACTCCCTTTGTCTCAGTTGACGAGGAAGTCTGTACAGTTCGAGTGGACAGACCGTTGTGAGTCGAGTTTTCAGGAGCTGAAAAGGAGGCTTACGACGACACCAGTGTTGACTATACCCGATCCTTCTCGGAGCTTCACCATCTATAGTGATGCTTCGAGGCAGGGTTTGGGATGTGTACTTATGCAAGACGGCCAGGTCGTTGCTTATGCGTCACGCCAGCTTAAAATACATGAACAGAATTATCCGACGCACGACTTGGAGTTGGCTGCAGTTGTTCATGCCCTCAAGATTTGGCGACACTATCTATACGGCGGTCAATGTGAAATCTTTACTGATCATAAAAGCTTGCAGTATATCTTTACCCAGAAGGAGCTCAACATGAGGCAGCGCCGTTGGTTAGAACTCGTCAAGGATTACGATTGTACGATCCAGTATCATCCGGAAAAGGCAAATGTTGTTGCTGATGCCCTAAGCCGCAAGGTGAAGGGTGACTTGACGTACGTTGTTACTCAGCAAAGTCAGTTGATTCATGAGTTTGCCCGGATACAGATCCAGCTAGTGGATGCACTTCCTACAGCCAGTTTAGGGAGTGTGAATTCTATGCAGGTTCAGCCGACACTGAGGGAGAGAATTCGGCAAGAGCAGGCTTTAGATGAGTTTATTCGTACGATTGATGCCAAGGTTCGTGTCGGAGGCGTCGAGGGTTTTCACCGAGGCACTGATGGGGCCTTGGAGTTTCGTGGTAGGATTGTGGTGCCGAAAGTCGAAGCATTGAGGAAAGAGATTTTATCTGAGGCTCATATACTGCACCCTATCTTGCCCATCCAGGAAGCACAAAGATGTACCATGACCTGAAAATGGTGTTTTGGTGGAAAGGATTGAAGAAAGACGTTGCCGACTTTGTAAGAAGATGTTTAACCTGTCAGCAAGTCAAAGCCGAGCATAAGAGTCCGATAGGCCTTCTACGACCACTGCCGATTCCGAGGTGGAAGTGGGAGGAGGTTGCGATGGATTTCGTTACGGGGTTACCAAGGTCGTCTGAACATCACGACGCTATCTGGGTCATGGTCGACAGATTAATTAAGGTTGC